AAGTTTCAAAGTCTTCTTCCACTTCAGGTAGATTATCCTTCACTTGAGTTCTTCTTTTTTCGCCGTCGCAAGATTTCATATCGGTTGAATATTTCTTTTAAATGTGAAGTGAAGCAACCTTTACTTCTCCGAAAATCGTCTTCGTTATCTTAGTTTCTATCTCCTGCATTCATAGTGGCCGCTCAACACATCAAATACAAGCTCTTAGGTAAACTTCTCACAAAAGTAGAAAAAATTCCACGCGCCGCCATCTTTGTTTTGAATTTTCATCTTTTTATCTCGCGCTTCTTTCGCACGTTTCTCTCGCGCGCGTCACGCAAGAGTAACCTGTTCCCCGCGCGAGGAAACTGGTACGAGCCACTTTAATAGTTTCCTGGCGCGGGGAACAGGTAACTCTTGCGTCACGCGCGGGAGAAACGTGCGAAAGAAGGGCTAGATTAAGGTGGCTCGTACCAGTTTCCTCGCGCGGGGAACAAGTCACTCTTGCGTGCGCGCGCGAGAGAAACGGGCGAAAGATTTCAATGATTTTCTTAGCAGTAAACGTCTGTAAACATCAGATCGTAGGCGCTCGCGCGAGCACACGCAACTGTCTGCGGTAGCTATAACTGATCATGAACAAATGACGATCTTATAGAATCCAGATTTTTAAATGCGCGAGAACGCGCGTAAAAAATACTTACCTCACGAAAGGTTTGGCATGAAAACAAGTCCGGCGACCCCTTCTTTTTATTGTTCGAATATGATAATAACGTCGAAAGGAATCATCAGAAAAAAAAAATAGAAATTCTACGGAAGGAAATTTGCGAGGTGTGAAATTGCCTTTTTTCTAGATTTTCTGAAATTCCGCTCCTTAGAATTTTTTTAAAATCTTTGTGCATTTTTTTTTTCAAGTGCCAAATGCAATCACTGAAAAAAAACACGGGGTCACTGGGTTAGTTTTCGAATAATTTCAGCCACAAGCTAAAAAATGCGTCTGAATAAGCCTATAATAGCGTTGCCATGGAAACTGCTAGTGACGAAATGACACCTATTTTTGAATAACCAATGATTATATAATTCAATCCTTTAAAAGTCTTCAACTGGCCTTGGTCAATCTTTTTGTTGTGTACTTTCAAAGTTTCAAACCATCAAAAAGACGAAAACTGGTACCAGCCACCTTAATAATTAAAAGGGAAATAGCGATGGAAGCTTAAAAATCTCTCTGTTCTGATTTCATTCAATTCAAAAGCGGTGATAACATTTAAGAAGTAAGAAAAACATCCAACCACATCTTCTCATAACAAGCTTACACGTCTGAAGGTTTCCTGTATGCTTAAAATGTAATGGCAGTTCTTTATTAAGAGGAATGTACACTGATCAGTCACGCGATTGCGGCTGGGAGGTGAATTCTACAGACAAAGTATCTTCTAAAAGCCACATGCAATATAGAGTAACCGTTGTTTCACAACTACCGTAAATTTTGAAGAGTACTTGGGCTGCGTAAATTCAAAGCCACACTCAAAAGACCTTACTCTACTGTACACCAGTGATGGAGACGTCATAAGTTGCTCAACGATGTCACACTAACTCACTATCACATCACGACAATCGAGAATAATTTACTTTCACCAACTTACCTCTACGGTAATCCGACAAGTAGGACAGCTTAACATCCAAGCGTTGCTTTTTCTACCCACCAGTCCTTCCAGACAAATTTTGCAGAAGGAATGGAGACATGGAAGAACTTTTGGATCTTTGAATTGCTCCAAGCACACAGCGCATTCCAACTCCTTCTCTAAATTTTCGGCCAACGTCGAAGCTTTAGCCATCTTTAGTAGATCTCCTTTCTCACAAGGAAACGAGAAAAATAATCGCCTGAAACAGCTCGCTGACAATAGGTGGTTTGCAACCAATCTCGAGAGACACAGGTAACAATGGAAGAGAGGAACAAATGCTGGTGGCCGAACAAAAGAAGCTCATGAGATATTTATTGTCTATGTCCATCAACCTGGCGGCGATGACGTAACGTGCAAACCACCTATAAGGTTAGAGTTTCGACTTTCCTGGAAAGTCACGTGATAATTATGTCGTCGATGCGAACCCCTCCTGTGACGTTTCGCCTTTGAATAAAGCAGGTACGCAATGCGTACAAGTATGTCAAATAAGTTGTAGCTCTGATGCTTTGAACCGTGGTGTTTTAAACAAGTGAAAAAATAAAGGTTAAATTGTTTTCCAGGCGCAATTATTTAAATGGGTTCAAAATACTTTTCTCGCCTTTTAAAAATCAAATTATTTCCGCATTTCCGCTTGGGTGGTTCTAATTGTGTAAGATTAGCAGGAGAAGCAGTCCTTCCATAAAAAACTACTCTAGAAAAGACCCTAAGATTTTCTGGATCCCTATTATCCTAAATTAATGATTCCTTTGGGATATAACTCGATATTCCAGCCATCAGAAGATAATGGATGAGACAGTTGGGTTTAATAACATAGTTAGTTAGTAGAGGGGACTGGTTAGGAAACGCCGCAAACTTCAGTCGGATAGGTTATTGTTCGATTTTATCGAGGTCACGTGACAATGACCCTGCACACATAAATCCAGATGGCACCATAGGCTTGTTTCGACAGCCACGTAGCTACTATGTTAATAAGAAAAAAGAAATACAAGTGAACCAGATAGCTAAATGGAAGAGGCATGTAGGCTTGTGACGAAAAAAAGGAGCAGAGAAGACTTTTTGAAATATAAGGTGGAGAATTTGAACATCTTTTCAGGTTAAAATGTTTTTGTGATAGAAAAATACATCTTTTCTTCTGACCTGTTTGCTGTATATGTTTTAACATGTCTTGAAATTGTGACGAGAACTTACAAAAATTCTGAGACTTTGGCAAGCTATAAGGCATAACAAAATAAAGCAAATAAAAAAAATAAAAAAGAGATCTGAAATAGATATATATAAGGATTTGACACCAATTGCAGAAAATAAAATAGGCCCTACGATGCTTCAAATATCATTTAATATATCATTTGAACTCCAAAGTTAAATCCCAACATCTCATATAATTTGATGAAGACTACTCAGTTTTAAGGTTACCGTGCACCTTCAGGGGTGTCTCGCGTGCAAGCGATGTAGCGCGTCCGGTTTAAACTGTAGATATCCAAACCCCGTTATCAAATTAAAGCTTATAGGACTGGCTATCGGACTATACCAATTAATTGTCGAATTTTTCATGACTTCTAAATGCAACCGCCCGAATCACCTATTAAGAGCTACAAGTCAAAGGGAATTTGTTTGATTGCTCTCAAATTTTGACAGTAGCTAGTATTACATATAAACAACTAAAATGTGTCTCCGAGTTTTTATTTCTAAATACTTTTTTTTCGAGAGCGATTTTTGTACGATCACTCCACGTTTTTTTAATCCTATTTAAAAAATGTTCTGCAACTTTTCACTGAAATTGAATATGGCAAATCGCAAGCACGTTCTTTTGGCGCTTTGGCCCCAGAAACGGAGTAACACATTAAATAAGCGAAAAACAAAGTTTGCTTTGACATGTAACGTTCGAAAGGTGATTCGAGTGCTCGCATTTAGAAGTCATGAAAAATTTGACAATTTAATTCATTTTTTTCCAAAATTTTTGGTATAGTCTGATAGCCAGTCCTATAAGCTTTAATTTAATATGGGGTTTGGATATCTACAATTTAAACCGGACGCGCTTTATTGCTTGCACGCGAGACACCCCTGAAGGTGCACTGTAACCGATGTAGAAACTATAAATATATTATAGAAATTAGTCAGTAAAAACTTAGTGCAAAGCTTGTGATTTACATATATATTTACAATACATACAAATCTGTAAAAAAGAAAAAAAGAACTTCTAAGGGGGTCTAAAAAATTATGTTTCTCTCCATCAAAGATGCCAGCATGTTAAATCAGATCTCATTTACAGCTTGTAATCATTAGGCAAGAGGATTAAGCTAGTATATTAAGTTAGCTAACAAGTAATAAAAGAAGGGCCAGCCAGTTTGAGCTACCTGTGGGATCACAACTATTTTATTATACCTTTAAATTTAAGGCCTGTCTTCACTTTTTTTTTTTCATAAAACCAATTTTTCTATTTCACCATCAACTATAATTGTAACCATACCCAATAAAAACATCATGGCCTAGCTTGAGATGGAATGTTGGGAATATCAACATCAAATACCTATTCCTGTGAACTACTCATAAGTAATTACCAGTTGAGACCTTAGGATTTCAAATAGAAAGGAAACACCATCCATTTTTAAAATCCTGCCCCCATTAATCATGGGAACCCATAAACTCGTTTAAAAATCATTTGATCACAGATGTCAAAGCTGATCTTGCCACTTTTAAGTTCAAGTCACTTTGAACAAAAAAGTACATGAAATCTAAAAATCATTGTAAATATAAAACATAACTGTGAATAAAAGCTAAAACTATTGCTGGATGGAAGCAATATTTCCATAGCTGATATACCGGTTAATAAGGAACTGATGAGCAAGCACTATACACCACCAAGCAGCCAAAGAGAGGCAATATTGTATGTCAAAAGCTTAATTTCTGACCATTATATTGACAGAAATAAACAATATTTTTTGTTTCTATGTTACATACACTGGTGTACTAAAACAAGTATTCACCTCAGCATCTGTGAAGGTGGTGGCTATAATTTACCTTCACTTCAGTGAATAATCGTCTAATAGGACACATTTTAATATTATAATTATGGCCAAGTTATGAGACTGCTAGACTCTAAACAAAGCTAAGTACAAAGTAATTTTCAATTAAAATCAAAGATTCAGTGTCACAAAAACAAAAATTTAAGTAAAATAATAAAAGCAAATCAGAACAGTGAATAAAATTGTCAGTACACTAAAAAGTCAAAAAGAGTCTTGGCTATGTAAACCTAAGGACAATGCCAGAGCCTTGGAAAAGGTTGGCATGCCACTGATGCATGTTTTGGGCATCCATGCATATAACCCAAGTTAATTGAGTTGAAAGTATTGCACAATGAATGCAACCCAAGATAACTCTTAACATTTGTTTCAGATCTACATTGGTAAAAATTTTGTCTGTTCAAGTAAACTTTGAGCCCCCTAGAGCAATAGAGAAACCTGGTCTCCATGGCTGGTCATGTGAAACAATGGACATGCCACATTCCATTTCCACCGAGTCTTAAGGTGAATCATTGAATACTACATCACATGCTTGTGTACAGATTTCTATTTCACATGTATCACCACCTTCCAACCGTTTTTTCCCATCATTCCCCTTTGCAATGACAGTGAATTCAACTGGCTAACCCCACAGTGTAATTAACAATTATTCCACAAGCGCACTTTGGATACAAGAAGATAGGTAGCCAACGAGGCACTACGCACCGAGTTGGCTATAATCATCTCATATTCAACAAGCACGAGTAGAATAATTGTGTTATTAAAAAGTGCCCCCAAGATATTAGAAAAATCTTCTCGACTTTATTTTGGAAGAAAAAACCGGATGTTACAATGTACAGATATAAGATTATGGTATATTGGCTCATATACCATAATGGCTAAGCCAATAACTTGAAATTATTACACGACTTGGGCAGTCAGAGGGCCAATAA